CTGACGCGCGGAGTGCGCCAGGGGCGGCGCCGGAAGCGCCGCCAGGGGGGTCCGGCGCCGATCCAAGAAATCCGCGCGGACATCCAAAAGCCCGTGCATACATGCAAAGATGTCTCCTTCGAGGCGGGAGGTGGACGGTTTCCCCCGGGGCAGTAGGCGACCCGAGGAGGAGGAGATGGAGGAGGAGGAGGAGGAGGAGGAGGAGGAGGAGGAGGAGGAGGAGGAGGAGGAGGAGGAGGAGGAAGGGGGAGGATGGAGAAGGGAGGAGGGAGGAGGAGGAAGGGGAGGGGACGAGGAGGAGGAGGAGGAGGAGGAGGAGGAGGAGGACGAGGAGAAGGAGGAGGAGGAGGAGGAGGATGGAGAAGGGAGGAGAAGGGAGGAGGAGGAAGAGGAGGAGGAGAGGGAGGAGACGGGTCGCCTAAGCCCTCCGGAGAACCCCCCCAAGGTGTGGGGGGCCGGGTCGAGCCCGTCGGGTGACCATGGGAACACAGGGCCCCCATCGCTGCCTCCACGTCGGGGGTGCTCTTCGAAGGCCGGCCTCGGCCACGTGGCCCCGGGGGGGCAGCCCGGCGCCGGGCTGTTCTCTGCGCGGCGCTCGGGGTGCGCACCGTGGCCTATGGGCCTGCAGAGCTCGGAGGGCTGCCGGGGCAGCCAACGCCTGGCGCAGGAGCCACGACGGAGATGCACCGGCAATACCTTCGGCCTCGGGGCGGCCGCCCTCGGGCCCCGCGGCCGTCCACCAGCGGCGCGGGGGTAAAGAGCAGCCACGGGGAGAGAGGTAGGGGGCCCACCTAAGGACGTACGCGCCCAGCTAGGTACACGAACACGGCCCCGTGACCCGCGAGACTGGCCGCGTGACACGAACATTCGCGCCATGCAAGCTCTCGAAACCAGCGTGGATTCATGTACGTGTACGTCCTTCTTTCGCTCCTGAAGAGGGTCAGGACTTCCGGGGCCCCCGCGCGGCACCAACATCAGGACATCAGGTGCCCTGGGTCAGACCGCCCCGCGCCACGGCGCCCCCGCGCCGCCACCTCGGTAGAAGGGCAGAGCCGCTATTTGCCCCGACCGCGGCGTTCGACGGGCGATCATCCTCACGCCCCCGCAGGTGACCTTCGAGGCCTCCTCCGGCCATCGCTCGGACGTCCATTTCCTATGTTTGTTTTCGGTTTCGTGCGTGGTTTTTTCGCCAAATGATCAGGGATGCTCCTCGATGGTCCTCGCCGAAAGGAGAATGCACGCGTCCGCGCGATGCCAAGTCCTAGGTGGGGTCCGAGTAGATGGGGTCGGAGGATCGCGCCGCATCGCCGATGCATCGGAGATGCATCGGCGATGCATCGGGGATGCACCTGCGTTGCATCGTCGACGTCGGCGGTGCACCGGCGACGTCGACGTGAAGCGATCAATCAGGCCCCGCATCGATCCGCATCGGCGAAGCATCGGCGATGCGGCGCGATCCTTCGGCCCCAGCTATCTACTCGGACCCCATCGACGAGGCCGGGAGCTGGGCCCGTGCGAGGGCATCTCGGACCGCGCGTGCGCTCTGTGCTGCCGGGCTCACTCCGCCCTGAGCGTGCGCCTCGCAAGGGCCCCGCCAGAAGCCCTTGGAGGCCGCCGCGGGGCCCCAGAAGCCTTCGGCACCCCCTCGGAGGCCCTCGGGAGGCCCTGGGATCCGACGTCGCGAAAGAGCTGCAAGATGGCGCGCTATCACGACTGGCGCCCCCACCAGAGGCCTCCTAGGTGGGGTCCGAGCAGATAGTGTCGGAGGATCGCGCCGCATCGGCGATGCACCGGCCATGCATCGGGGATGCACCGGCGATGTCGGCGCAAGTGAAGGGGCCCCAGGACACACAAATAGATACACACACATAAACATATTCCCTATATTTTCCTATATTTCCTGGGTTTCTGTCTTCCCCCCCACTTCCCATATTTTCTCACATTTTCTGGGGAATCGAGGATCAATTGTGTCTGCGTGTTTTTCCCTCTCCTGAGCAGGGGATCTCGGGCTGCACATCGAACCGCATCGCCGATGCATCGCCGGTGCGGCGCGATCCTCCGGCCCCATCTGCTCGGACCCCATCCGGGAGGCGCGGAGAGACGCAGGCGAGAGGAAGCGAAAGCCGGGAGAGGATCGATCGGGAATTCCGCTGGGAGATCCTGGGTCGCCCCGCCTCGCGCACCTCTCGCCCTGCGCGGTGCGCGGCTATCCCCGCGCCCTCGAGGCCCAGGTGCCGCGCGCCCGCAGAGACAAGGGCCACGGGCCCTGCTCCAGACGGGGGCGCGGCCAGGGCGCCTGCGCTGGATAGGCCCCGAGACAACAATAATGAAGGGGCCCTGGGACACACAAATAAATACACACACAAATAAAAATATCCCCCATATTTTCCCATATTTTCTTGGTTTTTGTCTTCCCCACCACTTCCCATATTTTTGCATATTTTCCTGGGAGTCGACGATTAATTGTGTCTGTGTGTTTCTTTCCCTCCTGAAATAAGTCAAGATGGGGGGATGAAGGCAGCTCCTTTGGAGTCCCGAAACGGTGCGGTGACAGACCGTGCGGTGACCTCCAAATCCCCCAAGACCTCACCGCACGGTCCGTCCACTCACGGTTGTGGGACCTCGGATGCCCCAGTCGCCCGAGGCGTCCTCGGAGAGGGACTCGAGTCCCAAAACCGTGCGGTGACCCCGGACCCCCGCCGACTCACCACACGGTGTGGTCACCACACCGTTTGGAGGCCTCCGAATGAAGGCAGCTCCGCTCAAACAATCCGCCCCCGGGCCCCTCCCGGGGCCGCAACTGATCACTCTCTCGAGCCGCGTCCAGCAGCGGGGATGGGGGGGGGGCGGGCCCCGAGGGAGGCGGGCCCCAGGACTGGCTCCAGGGAAGCCCCCCAGGAGGCCCCAGGAGGGCTTCAGGAGGCCTCCTCCTCCTCCTCCTCCTCCTCCTCCTCCTCCTCCTCCTCCTCCTCCTCCGAGAGAGAGAGAGAGAGAGAGAGAGGGCCCCTTCCTCCCCCGCAGTCAGCTGGCCAAAGAACCGGCGCTGAGCCACCTCAGGCCCCCCCCCCGCCCACCCAGGCGCTCCAAGGCTTTCGACGCGTCGACCCCCAGCGGTCTGGGCCACTTCCCTATACTTAGGTCGGGCATGTCCCCCCACAGGCGGATTTTGGGTGGAGAACAAAAAATAGTCATACAAAAAATCAAGACTCCCAAAATGCTCAAAATGCCCAAAGCATCGTCCCCCGACTATCTTTTGACCTGACCATTGTGGAATATTCCTCCTGTAGAAGGACAGGCCCGACTTAACCCTTATACAGTGACTCCACCAGAGAAAAACCCAAATCAGCGGATGGTTTGAAATGGGATCGATAAAGAGATCGATAAGATGATAGACCTGGAACCCGAGAACCCCGGAACCTGGAACCCACCGAAATCGGCCCCGAACCAATGACCACGAACCGGGGGCCCCTGAGCCGGGAACCCAGCCGGCCACCAAAATCGGCGGGACCTTTCGCCAAATCTCTCAATTTCCGCTAGGACTCCTTCAGTGCAAGGACTGGTGATGGGGGAAAACGTATAAAGTGGGGCCCGACCACAAGAAACCTTCCACAAGAAACCCAATCCTGAGACCCCAGGACGTCCATAGATTTTTGGTGTGGGAACGTCATTCATTCCATGGCAAAACCATCGAAACCCAAGGAAGCCATGGCACCCTGGAGGCGAGCAGGATGTGTCTTGCCATGGGCCTCCACTGTGTGAAGGACGGGCCGTAGGGACGCAAGACCCTTGGAGACCGAAGCTCGGATTCTGGGGGCGGCGGGCCACTAGCACCGAAGCGGGAACGGCAGAGGACGGGCCGCAGGAGCAAGGACGCAAGGGCAGCCTGCACGGTTTTCCCCGGGGCCGCAGGCGACCCGAGGAGGAGGGGAGGAGGAGGAGGAGGAGGAGGAGGAGGAGGAGGAGGAGGAGGAGGAGGAGGGGGGATTGAGGAGGAGGAGGAGGAGGAGGAGGAGGAGAGACGGAAGAGGAGGAGGAGGAGGAGGAGGAGGAGGAGGAGGAGGAGGAGGAGGAGGAGGACGGGTCGCCTAAGCCCTTCGGAGAAACCCTCCAGGGTAGCCTAGGAAAGGCGCGCGTCCTTACTACGCGCGTTGTCTGTAGGGTTGGGTCGGTCTTCGTCCCGGGCTAACAGGGGATATGTCGACCCCTGTCCCAGGCTTCGTGGGGCTCTCGAAGGAACCAGAAATTTGAGGCCGAACCCTGGGACATACGATGGGGGGGCCTCCATCCTCGATACGGGTGCGTCCGAATAGCCCCCTTTCGGGTGCATCCCGGGGTTCCCCTCCATTTCTGAGCGGCTTCATGCTTCGCCGAAGAGTCGCGGGCTGGGGGAGACACATCACCTGCGAGGAGTCGCTTCCTGAAAGGCCAGAGGTGACCCCAACTGACCGCCTTTCAAAACAAAAAAAAAAAAACGATTCCGAACAAGCTTGGAGCCTCTAAGCTTGTTCGGAGCCTCGGTTCTCTGGGCAGTCGGTTCCAAACCCAGGCCGCGACGCGCGAAGCACGGGAGGCACCTCCGCGGAGGCCGTGGAGCAGCCGAGGTCACGGGCCAGCGGCCGGGAGCTCCCAGGCAAGGGGCGGCCGTCGGGCGCCTCCTCGCAGCGCCGGCTCTGTGAGCCCCGTGAGATTCGGGCCACTGGTGCCGCGCAGGTGGTGCACGCCATCCTGGCTGGGTCATCTGCGCCATCGCCCTTCCAGGGCAGCGGATGCCACTGTCTGCCCAGATGCCAGCTGGTGCTGGAGCCAACGATGCAGCCATCGCTCTCAGAACCGCTCAGGCCTCGTGTAGCTCAGAGCATGTCCGAGCTAAGTCAGGCATGGAAGAACGGGGCTGATCATGGTAAACACGTTTGGTCGCTCTCACCGGCCCAAGCTTGCAATCCCTGGCCCCAGAAAACTTAAACGACCTGGTAAAACGAAAGAGGATGATCGCGTTGATGGTGAGAAGGCTTTGCGGGCAGCGCATGTGGCATCGCTGGCACCCTAACCCAGTGATCTGTCCGGCGAAATGCTCCAGCGCAATGGAAAAACGGCGGTCGTGCCCTCGGCGGCATGGCGCCACAGCTCGAGGGCGGAAAACGACCACGCCGCACGGAGAGTGGCGAAGGAGAAGGCCCGCGGCGACTCCGTCCTTCGCTGGCGCGCCGAGAGAAGGGGGGGGGTGGAAGAGGAGGGGGGCTGGCGCATCGTGGCCCGAGGCGCGCGCGCGGACGAAAAGGTGCTGGGGGGGGGCAGGGAACGCACGCAGAGAGCCGTACGGGGGCAGTGAAATCTCTGGGAGACCCCACGGCCCCGGCCACGCTCTGACCAGCACTCCGAGGCAGAGAGAGCCCCATGGCCCCGGCCGCGCTCTGACCAGCACCTCCGGGCGAATCCCGCCGAGGCGACGGGGGCCCCCCGAAGGGGAGATTCGGTCTCTTTACAACCAGAACAACCACTTTACAACCAGATGGGTTACTTTACAACCAACATAGGATTGGAAAGTATGGTTTCTCATCAAGGACGTCCACTTTGCAACCAGAACGGCCCACTTTACAACCAGAACGGACCACTTTACAACCAGAACGGGCCACTTTACAACCAGAACGGACCACTTTACAACCAGCTCAGAGTGGCCGTGCGTGTCTGGGCGTTCCGCAAAGTGCTCCAGAGCAAGTGGGCGCTCTGAAAAATGCCCCAGAGCAATTGGGCGCTTTGAAAAATGCTCCAGAGCAAGTGGGCGCTCTCAAAAGTGCTCCAGGGCGCGCGGACGCTCTGAAAAATGATCCAGAGCACGTGGGCGCTCTGGAGCCCGAGCGCCTGAACTCTCTGCGCAGGCCCCAGCGATGCCTCTGAACCCGAGCGCCTGAACGCCCCGCGCAGGCCCCAGCGATGCCTCTGAGCCCGAGGACCTGGACGCTCTGCGCAGGCCCCAGCGATGCCTCTGAGCCCGAGGACCTGGACGCTCTGCGCAGGCCCCAGCGATGCCTCTGAGCCCGAGCGCCTGGACGCTCTGAGCAGGCCCCAGCGATGCCTCTGAGCCCGAGCGCCTGGACGCTCTGGCGCTCTGAGCCCAGCAGACTAAGACAGGGCTTGCTAGCAGGGGCCAAGCGGCCTCAACAAGGGCCCCGTGCTCGCACGGGAATAAGGCGACAGCATACGTAGGAAGGCTCAGGGCGACGCGCTGCCCATTTTAGGGATCACTCACAGGAAGCGAGCCCAGTGGCCTCCACAAGGGCCCAGCGCTCCAGGGAACTAGGCCATTGGCACCGCGGGTCTCTTGGGCCACGTTGGCCCCTGAAGCCCCACGGTGTTCTGCAAGGGGCTAAGTGCGCCCGCTCCAGTTGGCCCCCCGCTGCTCCTCGTCTTGGAAGATCGAGGTTCAACGTCCCGAATAAATGCAACTATTTCGAAGATCGTTTCTTCCAGCGTCAGCCACGGTGCCAGCGCAGCAACGCAGGTATCGTGCTCGGGCAGCAGCCTCAGCCACCGTGCCAGCGCAGCAGCTTGAGCCACCGTGACAGCGCATCACCGCCACCTCTGTGCCTGCTACCACCACACTTACCGCTGCAGCCCCGCTACCTCCACAATTCCGACTGACCCCCCGCTACTACCGCAAATCCCATTGCAGCCCAGCTACCACCACAGTTCCCACCGTTGCCTGGCGACCACCACAGTTGCCACCGCAGCTTCCCAACACCATGCAGTTCCCATTGTAGCCCCCGCTTCCACCACATCTCCCACTACAGCTTTCCACTGCCATGCAGCTCCAGTCTTGGACGGGATCATGGTTTATTCGTATGTCCTGCGCGACTAGCCTTCGCCCGTCAGAAAAAAAGGCAGAGCAAGCAATGGCAGAACTGACCGACAGAGCTTAGAGAGCAGGTCAAAACTCGAATCCGCCCACCAGCACGCAACATGCCATAGCGCACCAGGTCGCCGCATCGCCAACTCGTGCGCAGTGCTTCTTCGTGCGCGATGGGCAACTTTACAACCAACATGCCTCAAAGAGCCCAAAGCCACCCTTGCGCTTGCCCACGGAGATTTCAGGGAAAGGCACGCGTGCATTCAATATGTGTTTTTACTTGCCTGGTTGTAAAGTGCCCTTCCTGGTTGTAAAGTGCCCTTCTTGGATTTTATAAGCTGGTTGTAAAGTGACCCATCTGGTTGTAAAGTGCGCTTCTGGTTGTAAAGTGACCCACACGCCCCCGAAGGGGGGGCCCAAATAGGCGAGCACGAGGGGAGGGCAGCAACATGGGTACCTTCTCCTGCGCCGAGGAGATCCGCGCACCCCCTGGCTCTCAGGCAAGACGAAGCCAGAACGAGGGCAAACTCGCGTGAGGATAAATCGAGAATCTCTGAGGTCCGGCGGCTCTGGCGGATGTATCGGGCGCGGCGGCCTTCTCAGAACGTCCCGGAAGGCGCTGAGAGCGTTCCAGAGCTCTCTGGAACGGATTGATCCTCGTCCTAGCCCCGTTCGAAACCTTCTCCTGGGTGGTTCAAAGATGGGGTCCTGAGGAATGGGGCCCCCCCGAAGGGGGGGCCCAAATAGGCGAGCACGAGGGGAGGGCAGCAACATGGGTACCTTCTCCTGCGCCGAGGAGATCCGCGCACCCCCTGGCTCTCAGGCAAGACGAAGCCAGAACGAGGGCAAACTCGCGTGAGGATAAATCGAGAATCTCTGAGGTCCGGCGGCTCTGGCGGATGTATCGGGCGCGGCGGCCTTCTCAGAACGTCCCGGAAGGCGCTGAGAGCGTTCCAGAGCTCTCTGGAACGGATTGATCCTCGTCCTAGCCCCGTTCGAAACCTTCTCCTGGGTGGTTCAAAGATGGGGTCCTGAGGAATGGGGCCCTACGGACGAGGTGCCCCAAACAATGCCAACCCTTGAGTCCCCTCCTATCCTTAGGACCCCATCCCTCAGGACCCCGTCTCTAAACCACCGATATCCTGCGCTGAGGATACCCACGAACCCCTGGCCCTCCAGCCCCTCCCGGACGCCCCCTGGCTTCTGGGGCAGCGGGCAACAGGGAGTGCTCCAGCGAGGGGCACCGGCCAGCGCGCCGGCAGAGGCCACGCTCCCCCGGCCGAGGGGCGGAAGAGAGATGGGCAGGCTGCGTAAAGAGGTGGCGCAGGAGTGGCGGCGGCAAGTCTGGCGTCACAGGGGGAGCAAGCCCACACGTCCGGCTACGCGCAGGGGCAGGCAGCTCCTGCCCCAGCCCTCTCAGAGGAAGGGGGGGAGAGCGCAAGGAGAGAGGAGGATGAGGAGGAGGAGGAGGAGGAGGAGGAGGTGGGAGGAGGAGGTGGGAGGAGGAGGAGGAGGAGGAGGAGGAGGAGGAGGAGGAGGAGGAGGAGGAGGAGGAGGAGGAGGAGGAGGAGGAGGAGGTGCTACTGGACCTGTGCCTGCGCCACTGGGGTGCCCTGCGCCGCGCTGAGCGGCAGCGCGGCGGACTTCGCAGGGCTGGCTGCGCGCCGCATCGCGCGGCTCCCCCAGGCGCCCGACTGCGGGGCTCCGCGCAGGGCGTCGGCGACTGCGACTGAGGCCCGTGCTGCGGGCCCCCCCCCAAAAAAGATATGTCGTTAGGGTTAGGTCGGGCACGTCCCCCGATAGGCGGACCCTGGACGAAGAATCGAACATTGTTTTTCATGCTCAAAAAAACTCCAAATGGTGTGTGCTTTCTATTTGGGGTGAAAACAAGAATGGACCGCAGACAGTTGTTTGATGATGTGTGGGTATTCCTCCTGTAGAGGGACGTGCCCGACTTAAAACAGGGCATCTCGGGTCCGCAGGACCCTCTTGGGGGCCGCAGGCTGCAGCGTGCCGTCTCGTCTCAAGCATTCATGTGTCGTGTCTCCTGTTTCCTGTCTATCCTGAGGTCGGGCATGTCCCCCTACAGGCGGAGTTGGAACGAAACATGAAAAATAGTTCACACATGTTGAAAGAAACAAAAAATGCTCAACAAATCGTCCCCCTACTATTTGTGTTACCATGTTTGATTATTATTCCTCCTGTAGGGGGACAGGCCCGACTTCAGTCCACCTGGTCCAGCCTCATTTCTGTCATTTCTGGTGCCTGGTGGCGTGCCGTCGCCCCCCCCCCCAGTACAGAAAACTCCTGAGGGAATGGAAACCCGACTCCCTCCGCTGCTCCCTTTGGCTGGTCAAGAAGGCCAAAGGGTCTCCAGCAGGCTTCAATACAGACAGACGACCAAAGTCCACCAGATGCCCCAACAAATTCCCAAGAGAGCCCCAGAAACTCACCAGAAGGCCTACGAGTGCCCAGAAGCATTGAACAGATGATGTGTGTGCGATGTGCTTTGTCTGTCATCTGTTTTGCTCCAGGGATGGTCAAAGATATCGCCAAGACGTCACACGAGGCCCAGATATGCCCCGAAAGCTGGGCCCCATTGGTCCCAATGTCGCCCCCAAGACCGCCCAACAACTCAACAAGGCCTCAATGTTCGCCCCCACGACTCCAAGAGGCCACAACAAGGACACAGTGCTGCGAGAAAGTGGCCCCAAGGTGGTCCCTGAAAGACCCAGTCTGTCCTCTGTCTGGAGCGCCCAGGATGGCCAGCGAGACCCGAAGAAGGCCCCCAGATACCCCCTGCCTAGGGCGGAGACCAATACATATCTAACACCCCTGGCCAGGCTCATCCTGGGCCCAGGAGCGGTGTAGGAGCCCACTGGCTCCTGGCTTGGCCAGGGAAGCACTCTCACCGAAGCTTGGCTCAGGGGAATCCCCGGCCAGGGGCGGGGGATGTGTACGACCCAGGGCAGCACCCCCCCTTTGCCAATGGGATCGAGCCTTCCCCTCGCCCCCGCTGATTGGTTACGCCCGCGAGCCTCGCCAAGGCATCGCGAATAGGATCGCTCCCCCACCCCCCCCTCCCTGTGGTACTGGCCCTGTGGGCGTGGCGGAGTGGAGCGTGCTGGCGCTCCACCCACACATGTGGGTGTGGGGTGGTTCGTCGTCGTCGTCCTCGTCGTAGTCGTCGTCGACGTCGCCGTCTTCCATCGTCATCGTCGTCGTCGACTTCTTCGGTCGTCGTCGTCGTCGTCGTCGTCGTCATCGTCGTCGTCGTCGACTTCTTCCGTCGTCGTCGTCGTGGTCGTCGCGGTCGCCGTCGTCGTCGTCATCGTCATCGACGTCGTCGTCGTCGTCGGCGTCGTCGTCGTTATCGTCGTGGTCGTCGTCGTCGTCGTGATCGGCGTCAGCGTCATCGTCGTCGTCCTGGTTATCGTCAGCGCCGTCGTCGTCGTCGTCGGCATCAGCTGCGTCGGCGTCGGCGTCGGCGTCGGCGTCGGCGTCGGCGTTGGCGTCGGCGTCGGCGTCGGCGTCGTCGTCGTCGTCGTCGCTGTCGTCGTCGTCGTCGTCGTCGTCGTCGTCGTCGTCGTCGTCGTCGTCGTCGTCGTCGTCGTCCCCCACCCGCCCTTCCTTTCTGGGGGAGGGGCTGTGGAACCCTCGGGGCCAACCCATCTGGGGAGGGGGGCCTGCGGCACCCCATGTGGTCGCCTGGCCGCGAGGGCGTGCGTGGTGGAGGGTACCGGTGCTCCACCCCCTGTGTGTGTGTGCGGGGGGGTTCGTCGTCGTCGTCGGCGTCATCGTCGTCGTCGTCGGCGTCATCGTCGGCTTCGGTGGCGACGGCGGTGTAGGCATCGTCGTCGTCGTCGTGGCCCCCCGATCCCATCTGGGGCGGGCTGTGGAACCCACGGGCCCATCTCAGCTGGGAGGGGGGACCCCCCCGTTGTCGCGTGGCCCTGTGGGCGTGGAGTGGTAGAGGGTGCCAGCGCTCCCACCCGCCTGCGGGTGTAGGGTGGTTCGTCGTCGTCGTCGTCGCCATCGCCGCCGCCGCCGTCGGCGTCGTCGTCGTCATCGTCGTCGTCGTGAGCGTCGGCGTCAGCGTCGGCGTCGGCGACGGCGTCGGCGTCGTCGTCGACGTCTCCGTCGTCGTCACCGTCGTCGTCATCTTCTCCCCTCGTCGTCGTCGTCATTGTCGTCGTCATTGTCATCGACGTCGTCGTCGTCCACGTCGGCAGCGTCGGCGTCGGCGTCGGCGTCGGCGTCGTCGTCTTCCGTCGTCGTCGTCGTCGTCGGCGGCGGCGTCGAAGTCGTCGTCGTCGCCGTCGTCGTCGTTCTGGTCGTCGTCGTCGTCCATTGGCGTCGACGTCGGCAGCGTTGGGGTCGGCGTCGTCGTCGCCGTCGTCGTCTTCCGTCGTCGTCGTCGTCGTCGTCGGCGGCGGCGTCGTCGTCGTTCTCGTCGTCGTCGTTGTCGTCGTCGTCGTGGCCCCCCGATCCCATCTGGGGGGGGCTGTGGAACCCACGGGCCCATCTCAGCTGGGAGGAGGGACCCCCCCGTTGTCGCGTGGCCCTGTGCGCGTGGAGTGGTAGAGGGTGCCAGCGCTCCCACCCGCCTGTGGGTGTAGGGTGGTTCGTCGTCGTCGTCGCCATCGCCGCCGCCGCCGTCGGCGTCGTCGTCGTCATCGTCGTCGTCGTGAGCGTCGGCGTCAGCGTCGGCGTCGGCGACAGCGTCGGCGTCGTCGTCGACGTCTCCGTCGTCGTCACCGTCGTCGTCATCTTCTTCCCTCGTCGTCGTCGTCATTGTCGTCGTCATTGTCATCGACGTCGTCGTCGTCCACGTCGGCAGCGTCGGCGTCGGCGTCGGCGTCGGCGTCGTCGTCTTCCGTCGTCGTCGTCGTCGGCGGCGTCGGCGTCGTCGTCGTCGTCGCCGTCGTCGTCGTTCTCGTCGTCGTCGTCGTCGTCCATTGGCGTCGACGTCGGCAGCGTTGGGGTCGGCGTCGGCGCCGGCGTCGTCGTCTTCCGTCGTCGTCGTCGTCGTCGTCGTCGTCGTCGTCGTTCTCGTCGTCGTCGTCGTCGTCGTCCCCTCGAAGGGCAGGCCTGTGAACCCCCCTGTGGTCGTGTGGCCCTGTTGGCGTGGCGTGGTGGAGGGTGCTGGTGCTCCCCGCCCTTGTGGGTGTGGAGCGGTTCGTCGTCTTCGTCGTCGTCGTCGTCATCGTCTTGGGTCGTTGTCGTCGTCTGCCGTCGTCGTCGTCGGCGTCGGCGTCGGCGTCGGCGTCGTCGTGAGCGTCGCCGTCGTCGTCGTCTTCGTCGTCGTCCGTCGGCGTCGTCGTCTTCCGTCGTCGTCGTCGTCGTCGGCGGCGTCGGCGTCGTCGTCGACTTCCGTTGTCGTCGTCGTCATCTTTCGTCGGCGTCGGCGTCGGCTTCGGCGACGTCGGCGTCGTCGTCGTCGGCGGCGGCGTCGGCATCAGCGTCGGCATCGGCGTCGGCGTCCGCGTCGGCATCGGCGTCTGCGTTGGCGTCGGTGACGGCGTCATCGTCGTCGTCGTCGTCGTCGTCGTCGTCGTCGGTGTCTGCGGCTATGTCTGCGTCATCGTCTTCGTCGGCGTCGGCGACGGCGTCGGCGTTTGCGTCGGCGTCGTCATCCGTCGCCGTCGTCGTAGTCGGCGCCGTCGTCGTCGTCGGCGTCGGCGTCGGTGTCGGCGTCGGCGTTTACGTCTGCGTCAACATCGGCGTCTGAGTATACGTCGGCGTGGGCGTCCTCCACGGCGTCGTCGTCAGCGACTGCGTCTGCGTCTGCGTCTGCGTCGTCGTCGTCGTCACCCTCCCATCCCTTCCCCGGGGGGTGGGGCTGTGGAACCCTAGGACCGATCCCTTTTGTGGGGGGTGCTGGGTGTGGGTGCGGGTGTGGTTCGTCGTCGTCGTCGACTTCGTCATCCTCTTCCGTCGTCGTCGTCGACGACGTCATCCCATGCCATTTCGGAGGGGGGCTGAAAACCCCCCTGTGAGGGTGGGCCTGTGGGCATGGCGTGATGGAGGTTGCTGGTGCTCCCCCCCTCTGTGGGTGTGAGGTGGTTCGTCGTCGGCGTCGTCGGCGTCGTCATCAGCGTTTTCCGTTGTCCCTGTCGTTTTCCGTCGGCATCGGCATCGGCGTCGGCATCGATGTCGGCGTCTGCGTCGGCGTCGGCGTCGGCGTTGGCGTCGGCGTCGTCGTCGTCGTCATCGTCGTCGCAAGCGTCGTCGTCGTCAGCGTCCCCATCCCATCTGGGGGAGCGTAACTGTGGCACTCTGGGGGGCTGTGGAACCCTGGGACCCATCCCATCTGGGGGGGGCTGTGAAAACCCCCATGTGGTCGTGGCCCTGTGGGCGTGGCGTGGTGGAAGGTACTGGTGCCCCCCCCTTTGGGTGTGTGTGCGTCTGCGTAGTCGTCGTCGTCGTGGTCGTCGTCGTCGTGGTCGTGGTCGTGGTCGTGGTCGGCGTCAGCGTCGGTATCGGCGTCTGCGTCTTCGTCGTCGTCGTCATCGTGGTCGTCGTCCCCCCCATCCCATCTGGGATCCATTCCATCTTGGTGAGGAAGGGCTGTGACACACCCTGTGGTCGTGGCACTGTGGGCGTGGCATGATAGAGGGTGCCGCTGCTCCACCCACAGGTGGGGGTGGAGTGGACCGTCGTAGTCGTTGTCGTCGTCGTCTTTTGTCGTCGTCGTCGTCGTCGTCGTCGTCGCTGTTCCCCTCATCACATCTGGGCGGAGAGGGGCCTGTGGAACCCTGATGCCCATCCCATCTGAGGATGTGGCCGGCCCCCCCTGTGGTCATGGCCCTGTTGGCGTGGCTTGGTGGAGGGTGCCTGTGCTACCCCCCCCTTGTGGGTGTGGGGTGGTTCGTTGTCGTCGTCGGCGTCGGCGTCGTCGTCTTCCGTCGTCGGCGTCGTCGCCTTCCGTCGGCGGTGCCAGCGACGGCGTCGGCGTTGACGTCGGCGTCTGCGTCTGCGTCTGCGTCTTCGTCGTCGTCGTCGTCGTCGGCGTCGGCGTCGGCGTCGGCGTCTGCGTCGACGTCGGCGTCGGCATTGGTGTCGACCTCTGCGTCGTCGTCGTCGTCAGCGTTGTCGTCGGCGTCGTCGTCGTCCTCGTCGTCGTCGCCTTCCACCCCCCATGCCACCGTTGGGGGGTGTGAAACACTAGGACCTGGGACCCGTCCATCTGAGGGGGGGAACCCTCGACCCGGGATCATGCATAGATCTCCTCGCCCGACTGCGCAGTCCCGGCATGGCTCGGCCTGGGCACCGGCCTCAGCCCGCTGGCCAAGAGACGGCGCCGCGACATCAGCTTTAAGTCGGGCGTCCCCCTACAGGGGGATCTTGGACGAAAAATAAAAAAATAGTCAAAAAATGCCCCCGAAATAGTCGAACAATGCCTAAAAAAGCCGTCCCCAGACCATGCTTTGACCATGTCTGGATACTCCTCCTGCGGAGGGACACGCCCGACCTGACACCGGCTGCTCGACGGCACGCAGGGCGGCGCGGGGCCCGCGCGGGGCCCGCGCGGGCCAGGGCGGGCCAAGGCGGCCCGGGGCCAGCGACGGCAGCGCGGCCACCTGGACGCGCTGGCCGCCCCGCGCCGCGCACCCGCTCCACGCGGCCGGCGGGGCGCCGCCCGGCCTCTGCGCCGCCCTGCGCGGGCGGCGGGGCCCGGCGGACCGCCCCGGCGAGGCCGCGTGGCGGGCACTGGGCCCCCCCTCGGCAGGCGGAGCCCGCCGCGCTGGTGAGGCGCGGGGCTGCTCTGGGCGCGCGCAGTCGGACTGGGTTGGGCAGGACGCGCGAGAGTATGCACACGAGGCCCTTCCGAGGGCTGCATTGCCACAGGAAGGCAGGGAGGTACGTGTCGCGAGGCATAGGACACAAGGGTGCCCTTGAACTGGCAGGGTCGATCTACTGATCCGGGCCGGCTGTGGCTGCTCCGGTACGGTGCGGGCAAAGCGCGAGGGACCCTCGCAAGAAGCCCAACCCTGCACACCCGCGCGCGAGGTGCACCGGAGGGGAAACCCAGAGCACCCTGCACGCAGCAGCATCTTCAACGACTGCGGGAAGTCACCGCGCAGCTCGCGGAGCGAAGAAACCCAGGATGCCCTGACGAAAAGCGTATGGCTTCTTGATGCGCGCAATCACTGAACGCATCACGCAAAACGCAGCGTATGGAGACGGAGCTCAACACGTCGACCGAAAACGGAGATCTGGCTCGATACGTTCGCCAACACGTGGGCCAATACGTCGAGCCAACACGCACTGTATTGACACGGGCATTTGAGCACGGCACGTGATGGCTTTCAAAAGGGGCGTATCGAGGCAGCCAAGCTCCGGAATTGCTCGGCGCGCCTCGCTGAAGAAGGCCGTGGCCGGCCGCGCCCCCGTGCGGCGGCGCTGCGGCCGGTACCTGGAGCGTCGCTGCTTCGGGGGCAAGAGCTACTCCCGCAACAGACCCGCGGCCCTCCTCAGCTCTTGGACGTCTTCCGCCACCCCAGCAAGCCTCTCGGCAGCCTGGGGAGGAGCAGTGGCAGGGCAAGCAGGGGCAGAGAGTTGGGGGGGGCAAGGAGGTGGACGAGGGATAGGTGGTGGAGAAAAGCGAGAAGAGAAGGAAAGTCAATTGTTCGATGCGGCCTTGTCTACGCCATGGTTCGCCCTCCTGATCTCCCACTTCAGCGACTCCACATCGACGCGTGTGGCCGATCCCCGCAACCGCAAGCACCCTTCGACGAACTCCTCGAGGGAGACGCGGCCCGAGTTGTCAGCGTCGATCATTTTGAACAATTTCCAAGTCTGTTTTGTGTCGACGTCCAGGGACTGGAACCATGACTGCACTTTTGGCTTGGACAGCTGAAAATGAAGCTCGTCTACTGTCAGCCCATCACCCAATGCATCGGTGTCCGCATTCATCTCCTGAAACAGCAACGCCAGGCGCTCAACGTGTTGCTGCTTCCCTTTGAGCTGGGCATCGATAGTAAGGTCCAAATCTTGCTGAGCCCCCTCGATCGCATTCTGACAGAACACACCTGTTCGGAGCTTGCGGCCGGCGCAGAAGAACCCGACACATAATGCAAATGCTAACAAGTCCGAACCGACTTGAACGAACTAGGAATCAGTCTGGGACCGGTCTGCTTCGGATTCGCTCTGCCTGGTGCGGCATATGCTTTTTGTTGACCTATTTCGCACGCAAGCGTTGCATTATATTCACAATACTTGACGCGGCCATGTTTCTGGCCCTCATCTTCCCACTAGGTAGCAAGATTTGCAGACGGCCTTCCCGACCTGCCCTGCCAGCCCTGCATACCACGGTCGCCAGGCCCAAAGTGTCGCGATGATCCCAGAATGTCCCACCTCGCATCCTCCACGAACGACGACGTTATGAACAGCATGCCGCGACCGCCGGGCCACATAGATCCTGGCTCCTGGTGATCCCTGGGTCTCCCGCTTCCTGTGCTCGACGCAATGAGCATACTGTGCATAGGGTCGGCCACCAATGCACAAACAACACACATCAAGAAATCACATGCGCAACAAACACACATGACATGGACGCAGCACACACATATACTCATACTTGACACTGGCTAGCTGCACGTATGCGCACAAGTTCCACATACCGCATGAGCATAACAGGCATACTACCATGCGCACGCAGCACACCATAAACAAATGCAAATATCACTCCGTTCAAGCACATCAAGAAACACGTGGCCCCACATCAAGGAGCACGGCAGGCGTCGGGGACGTCTCGCTGACCCGGGAACACAAAAAAAAAAAAAAAAAAAAAAAATCGCGACGAGGACAAGAGTAAACGCAACAACCGCATAGGATAACCGATCAAACCAAACACAACTTACCAGATAAGACAACAGCACGACGTCATGCCAATCCTACAAGAACTGAGCACAACAACGACCGTCTGAGGAACGACAAACGCTATGGCAAGGTAAGTAAAAACGAATCGCATATACCATGGAATACAGAACGACCAAGACCGATGATAATCACACATGGAAACACACAACGCTACATTATGAATTGGAACGGGTACCCACGGCGAAACCGCAAAGACAGGATATCCCGCCGCGACGTCACGCTGGGCCGCCAACGACAAAGAGCAACATCGACCGATTCGAAACTAGTCACACAACCTCATCAGACAAACTACATGAGGCATTCCACGACGAATGGTATGGCATAAGCGTCACGGCGTCACGCAGGTCCGCCAAAACAAAGCGGCAGCGACAAATTCGAAATGACAGACTCCATGGCAGAAAACATTGGAAACCACAGACAGCATGGGAAGACAAAGCGTCAGGAACACTCCACAGCATAACATGCACGACAAGCGCCGCGCCGTCACGCCACACCGGGAAGAAGAGTGCAGCAACGACGGCTAAGGAACGCCAGGGGTCAGGATGCATGGAGGGGGGGCGGGGGGCAATCTGCATGACAATCCCAAGTGATGCTGGCATTCCACGCTCGCTTAAGCGTCTCCGTGATATACTGTCCCGCACGCTGCGCCAGAACACGACGAGACCGCTACGGACGGAAATGATGCTGTTCGCCACCTGGCAGACCGACGTTGTTATTAGCTCGGCAGATTCAGCCAGCCAATACCATTAGGTCGGGCATGTCCTCCTACAGGCGGAAGTTGGAGGAAACTTAAAACATAGTCAAAACATATTGAACATTGTCAGAAATAGTCACAAAGCTCGTCACTAGACTATGTTTTGACTATTTTTGAATATTCCCGCTATGGGGGGACATGCCCGACTTAACAATAGCAGGTTGATATCATTGCGTATCTGGGCCTGTCCGGCCCTGCGGCCCGTCGGCGGGACCGCACCTGCCGAAGCCACACTCCCCGGCGGCCCACGTCGCCGCTGGAGGCAGAGCAAGCCGCAGGAGGACGACGAAAGAGAGAGGAGGAATGGCAGGAGGGAAGTCGAGGACGGAGCAGGAGGTGGACAGGAGGGCCAATCTAGGGGAACGAACAATGACATGAATATAAAAACTCGGAGGTCCGCGCGGATTTCTCGGATCGGCGCCGGGGCCCCCTGGCGGCGCCTCCGGCGCCGCCCCTGGCGCGCTCCGCGCGCCAGGGAGGGGGGTCCAGCGCGGACCCGAGAAATCCCCGCGGACCTCGGAGTTGTTATGTTATGTCATTCTTCGCTCCCCTACAATCAGCGAAAGGCTCGTCGCCTGCCCACGTCCCTCTTCCTCCGCCGCCGTCTCCTCTGCCTCCTCTGCCGCGCTCTGTGCGCGCAGCCGCTCGGTGGGTGCTGGCACCCCTGGCCTCACACAGTTGACCAAAAGGAAGGAGGGGGGGATACGATGGGGGACCAGGACTTGCCATCGCTCGGACGTCCATGCCCTGTGCATTCCTCGGCTTCGTGCGTGGCCTTGTCTGCTCGAGGATCCAGGATGCTCCTCCAGGGCCCTCGCCGAGGAAAGCATGCACACGTCCGAGCGACGCCAGGAGGACGGGGCCCAGGATGGCGGGGCCCCGTGGGGCGGCCACGAGGGAGGGGGGGGGGGGCCCACGCGGGCCGCGACGGGGCGCCACGACGTGCCAGCCGATGCCCATGGGCCCGAGCTCCCTCGTCGGGCGCTCGGGCCACCGCGGGGGCCGCCACGGGCCACCCAAAACTCTCGGGGGCCCGGGGCGCCCTCGCCGGGCGTCCGAGGCCAGAGGTGCACACCGTCGACGCCCACGGCGGGGAGGGGGGGGGCAAGGACGCCGGCGGCGAGCTCGCTGTGCGATCTGTAGGCACGGAGCGCCTGCGGCTTGCTTCTCCAGAGCACGCATGCGGCCCCTCCCCCTGGGGCCTCGGGTGGAACTCCCGAGGAGGCCACGAAACGTATGAATAGAGAGCAGAGAGAATCCACCCTCATGATCATCACCCCGACACGCGAAGCAGTTTAGTGAACGCGCCCACCGAAGGAATCGAACAGGGCAGGGCTATTTTGTAAACGCCCCTGGCCGTTTGCCAATTGTCGGGTCCGGGCGTTTTTTCCTCTCTTGAGCGAAGGCTGGTCAGAACGGGGTAACGACCGCAAGCGACCCCCCCCCCTCCTGTGGGTTTCAGATGAGCTCCCTGTGGGACCACGAAACTTGTGAGGAGCGTGCCAAAATGGATAAGAACCGCATGCGAACCCCAACGCCTGAGGCCTTCGGTGGATCTTCACATGGTGCCGCGAATCGTGTGAGGGGTGTGCCGAAGCAGACACATACGGACTGTTGAAGCAGGGATGGGGGGGGAAGGGAGGAGGGGAGGAGGGGAGAGGAGGGGAGAGGGGGAGAGGAGAAGCGGAGATTCTCTCTTTCGAAACGAGGACCCAACACCGCAGGATTGTTGGAAAAAACATAGGCAAGCCATTTAAGGAAGTCTCGAATGCAGGTCCGAAGGAGAAACACGGACCTGGAGAAGAACGCAAGACAGGCAAACGCCATGCAATAGACATGTACATACGCAGACTTGCAAGGCGTAACGCAAGAGCACGCGCACATAGCGGAACCCAAGGCAGCAGGCACGGCAAAACCAACATGTGGTGGCAGCCACTGCGGCCAGCGAAAATGACAGTGAATTTCTGCAACGAGACTGGCCCGCGCTCGCTTCAGATCAACTTTCTGAACGAGGAAAGCCTGTCGCCATGATGCTCACTGCGTGCACCACGGCAGCGCTACGAGTTTCGTCGTGCGACTCTCTGAAGACTAGATCGAGCAAATCGCCGTTCGGTTTTTATCCGGCAAGGTGCTCACCATGTCTGCAGCGCGTGATCTGTACTTGCTGCTATACCCCGAAACAACAACAGGTATGCCTGTCGCGTATACAAAACGCATGATAGCAAGCGACACGTTGCGCATAATATGCGGATCGCAGCACGGACGCACATCGCAGTGCACAGCTAAAATACTGAATTTGTCCCCGCATGTTTCGTGAGTTTCTGGTTTTCGTCTCACCTGCGTCACCCGCGCTCCTCAGTCACACCCTCTCCTCCTCAGCAGAACAGCGCAGCGCAGCGCAGCACAGCACAGCACAGCACAGCTCAGCACACAGCACATTGACACACAGCACGCACACAGCACAGCACAGCACAGCACTGCTCATAACAGTTCAGCACAGCACAACACAGCACAACACAGCACAGCCTAGCACAGCTCATCTCAGCACAGCACAGTTCAGCACTGCACAGCACAGCACCCCTGGACACCATAGGGGGTGCGCACCAGGTGGTCTCTGAGCGCGGCCGCTATCCACGAAACTGTCGCGAAGCCTAGCAGGCGTGGCACTTTATGAACACCATTGCGGGTGCGCGGAGTGTGGTCTCTCAGCGCGGCCGCTATCCACGACACTGTCGCAAAGCCTAGCAGGCGTGGCACTTTCTGGACACCACAAGGGGGGCGCTGGGGGTGGTCTCTCAGCGCGGCCGCTATCCAAGACACTGTCGCAAAGCCTAGCAGGCGTGACACTTGCAGGACACCATAGGGGGTGCGCTGGGGGTGGTCTCTCAGCGCGGCCGCTATCCACGACACTGTCGCGACGCCTGGCAAACGTGGCCCTTTCTGGACACCATAGGGGGTGCGCTGGTGGTGGTCTCTCAGCGCGGCCGCTATCCACGACACTGTCGTGAAGCCTAGCGGGCGTGGCACTTTCTGGACACCATCGGGGGTGCGCAGGGGGTGGTCTCTCAGCACGACACTGTCGCAAAGCCTAGCAGGCGTGGCACGTTCTGGACACCACAGGGGGGGGCGTTGGGGGTGGTTTCTCAGCGCGGCTACTATCCACGACACTGTCGTGAAGCCTAGCAGGCGTGGCACTTGCAGGACACCATAGGGGGTGCGCAGGAGGTGGTCTCTCAGCGCGGCCGCTATCCACGACACTGTCGCAAAGCCTAGCAGGCGTGGCCCTTTCTGGACACCATAGGGGGTGCGCTGGTTGTGGTCTCTCAGCGCGGCCGCTATCCACGACACTGTCGCAAAGCCTAGCAGGCGTGGCACTTTCTGGACACCATAGGGGGTGCGCAGGAGGTGGTCTCTCAGCGCGGCCGCTATCCACGACACTGTCGCAAAGCCTAGCAGGCGTGGCACTTTCTGGACACCACAGGGGGGGCGCTGGGGGTGGTCTCTCAGCGCGGCCGCTATCGATGCCACAGGAGGTGCCACAGGAGGTGCGCTGGGGGTGCGGTCTCTATCCGTTTCGGGCTCGCACAGCGTGGCAGGCGTGACACTTCCTCGACGCCACAAGGGGTGCGCTGGGGGTGCGGTCGCTATCCGCTTCGGGCTCGCAACGTGTGGCAAGCGTGGCACTTTCTCGATGCCACAAGGAGTGCGCTGGGGGTGCGGTCGCTATCCGCTTCGGGCCCGCAGGGCGTGGCAGGCGTGGCACTACCTCGACGCCACACGTGGTGCGCTTGGGGTGCGGTCGCTATCCACTCCGGGCTCGCAAAGCGTTGCAGGCGTGGCACTTTCTTGACGCCGAAGGGGGTGCGTTGGGGGTGCGGTCGCTATCCGTTTCGGGCCCGCGAAGCGTGGCAGGAGTGACACTTCCTCGACGCCACAGGGGGTGCCCTGGTGTGGCAAGCGTTGCACTTCCTCGACGCCACAGGAGGTGCCCTGGGGGTGCCGTCGCTATCCGTCTCGGGCTCGCAAAGTGTAGCGGGCGCGGCGCTTCTCCTCTCCACTCTCCTCCCTCATCTCCTCTTGACTGGCGTCACCAACGGTATCGCCGAGGTAACGGCCCCCAACATCATTCTCACATGCTTCACTCAGCTATCATCACTCCAGCCATAATATAAGTGTGTGGGGCTCCTCGGTAGCGTAATTGAACTGTGGATGTGCGAGGCGTGTGGTGCAACATGTGTGCTGCAGATATGTGGTGCAATATCTATACGTGTATACGTATGCGCACATGTCTGCTGCAAGACAAGTGGTGTATGATGTGTGGTTTACGCTATGCAGTATAATACAAGTGGCGTGAGCCACGTGATCGAAGTTATGCGGTGCAGTGTATGTGATGCAAGCTATGCGGTGCAACGTGTGTAGCGCGAGCTACTTCGCACCAGCTGCCCGGTGCAGGCGTGAGCACTGCATCGAAATATATGCGTCAGAAGCTCTGCGGCGCAGACCGTGCGGTCAAGTCTACACATCGTTCATGTCTAATCGTGTTCACTTCTACTTGTGTTCGTTTCTAATTGTTCCTGGCCCCCTAGTGGCCAGGAAGAGGCCCAGGACAGAATCGGAGGTTGGGGGGTGAGATCGAAGTGGAACGGAGAGCCCCCCTACCGGGAAATCGATTTCGGTTTCGTGTTCGTGCGTGCCGTGCGGGCGAGGCGAAGCTGCGTGGGCGGGCGAGAGAAAGTCTCTTGTGGCTGAGGCGCGGCCGGACCAAATGACTCCCTTCCGGGCGGCCGGGGGCCCGCGGTGTCCCGCCGGTGTCCCGCTGGTGTCCCGTGTGGCTGAGGCGCGGCCGGACCAAATGACTCCCTTCCGGGCGGCCGGTGGCCCGCGGTGTCCCGCCGGTGTCCCGCTGGTGTCCCGTGTGGGTGAGGCGCGGCCGGACGAAATGATTCCCTTCCGGGCGGCCGGGGCGGCGCGGTGTCCCGCCGGTGTTGCGCCGGTGTCCCGTCCGTGTCCCGTCGGTGTCCCGATGATGATGTTGATGATGATTTTGATCATGATTCTGATGATGATGGTGATGATGATGATGGTGGTAATGATGATGATGATGATGTTGATGATGGCGATAATGATGATGATGATGATGTTGATGATGATGACGTCGATTGCGAGATCGATTGTGATATCGGTAGTGAGACCGAATGTGAGATCGATTGTGCGATGCTGATGGTGATGATGGCCTCCATGATATTGGTGTTTGTGATTATGATGACGACATTGGTGATGATGATGATGGTGATGCTATTGATCATGATGAATACGATGATGATGATGCTGATGATGATGATGTTGATGGTGATGTCGATGATGATGATGACGACGTGGACTCGCGGCTGTTGGTCGTGCCTTGCGTGACCGCCGTCCACAGGCAGGGCCCCGAGCACGTTGGGTCGGGGTCCGGGGGGCTCGGGTGTCCCAGGGGCCTTGGCGCGGGTGTCCCAGGGGCCTTGCGGGCCCGGGGGTCCTCGGCGCTCAGGGCTTCCCAGGGTTCAAGGGTCCAGTCTGGGGGTCGAGGGCTCCAGGGCCTCGAGGCCTCCAGAGGTTCAGGGGTCCAGTCTAGGGGTCGCCATCACCATCACCATCTCATAATCATTACCACCATCAACAACATCATCACCATCGCCGGGACACCACCGTCAATTCTAGTACCATTCACGGATTTTGGCTCAAGGCTTCTGTTGCACTCGACACGCGGGGTTCCCCGCCAACGCGCCCACTTCGGTCACGCACTTCCTTCGGCTTCGCTACGAGGGGCCAGGCTTTGCCAGCCGAAATGCTCGACGAGAATGTGGAGACGCTGAAGAACATGAACGCCCAGACGGCCAAGTACACCAAGTGGTACGTGAGGGTTCTCGACCCGAAGGTCATTGATTACACGTTCACAGCGAGGAACGAAAAAGTGGAGGCGCAGAAGTTCAGTTGCGTTTTGGTGTCCAACGCGCCCGCGCAGTACATGCTCGGCGCGGTGCCCTTCAGTTTCAAGAATCGGGCTGCGGCAGCCGAAGCCTTCAAGAAATTCACGGCGGACTCCGTGTGGGAGCTCCGGACCCCGAGCTTCGACACCAGAGCCAAGTCGGACTTCATCGGCGGCCCATTGAAGTCGGTGGTCTTGCTTTGCAGCCCATCGACACTGACCCGACTCCCGCCCACCAGCACGGAAGCGTTGGCGCATCCCGCTAAGGGGCTGCAGATCGCACTGGATATCAAGGGCATCGTGGAGCTTCTCAAGGGGACTGCTACTGGTGCAAACAACCGGGCGGCCTTCGACTTCTGCGGCAAGATCCTCGGCATCACCACTCCCAAGCAAGTCAGTAAGAACGGCAGCCTCCTAATGGTGGCCGAAGCGGAGTTCACGGATGCTGGCGGCGGGAAGATCGTGGTGACCGTGTGGAAAAAGGCGCACGAGTACTTCGCCCACGTGCAACCGGGGTCTGGCGTCGCTGTGCTCGGATGCAGTGCTGCGCTTGAGAACGGCGAGGCGAAGATCAACATCTGGCCGGGGGCCCACATCAGCACCGTTGGCGATCAGGCCCAGTCTTTGACAGGCTTGGACGCCACCAGTCTGTCGGCCGAGGTGCTCGCCGCCCAGTGGGTGCCATCTTCCGGTAACGGTTTAGCGAGTGTCATGGAGGCCGCGGCACACTCCACGTGCGCTGTGGCGTTGGCCGACGCGATTGCCCACCCCCAGCCCATCACGTTTCAGATCAACCGGTGCCTCCTGGACGCGCCGCTACAGCGAGACGCGATGTACACGCAGGACGGCCGCCTCTTCCTCCGGAATTGCCGTCTTCGGGATGCCACCGGGGGGGTGGACGTAGACGTGGTCACCGATGCCGCCCCGACACTCTACGACTGCTCGGCTCCTGACCAGGTGGCGGCCCAGCTTGACGCCCAGTCTTTGAAAGGCGCCAAGCACCGGTTCAATATTCGGGGCATTCTCCGCCAGGAGAACGGGGTGGCCAAGCGGTACATCATGGAGGTGGGCATGGCGCCTCTGGACGCAGTGGTTTCCACGAGTGCCTTGCGTATGTGCTGCGGCCTCTCCGTGGTGTCCGGCGATGTCGTCCTGCCGGTGCCTGTGAGTCGCATCGTCGAGGACCCGCTCCAGGGTTTGGCAGTCTGTCGCGACGGTGCCAACAACATCGGTGCAAACAGGGTGTGGCTGCTGGTGCGCGGCAAAAGAAATCGATAGTGAGATCGATAGTGCAAGAGGGGGCGCGGGCTGCGCCAAGCTTTGCCAGCGCTTCAGTCTTCTGTGGCCCAATGGCGCCGTTAGCTGCCGTTGCGCAAGTTGGGCGGATTCCCGGGGGGAGGGCCGAATGGTACCAAGGCGCCAAAGAGCAAAGGGTGACGTAAACAACTCGACACCAACGCTCCCAAGAGCGAGCGGCAACGCAACTATCTCCACTGGCATTGTCACAACAACATTCACCACTGTTGCCCATTGCTGGGCCCCTCCCCCCCCAAACCTCCTAATCACCCGCAGGGTGGTCGTATAGGTAATTGAAAATGAAAGCATCCAAGCACCCCCCAAATCAAACAATTTTCGAATAATTAAAAATGAACAAGGTGTACGCGGTGCAAGCTCAGGCTGTGCAGCAGGCTAAGCGAAAGCACCGCTTGAGAAGAATATGAAAACATAATAACAACAATTAGGAAAATAATCATAATGAAAACAATAATACTGGTAATCGTAGTAAGAAGAAGCGTAATACTAAGCATACGAATAATCTATAGACATAAATACATATATAAATACCTTGCTGTTTCGCCTCTGCCGGTCCGCCGCCCCCGAGCCTGTCACCACGTTGAGTCCGCCGAACCCCGTATGCCAGGGGCGACGTGGCGCGTGGGACAGTTTGCGGCCCCCCGCTCCGACGAACGAGCAACACGCACCCATACCCATAGGGGGGTCGTTGGGAGGAGGACTGGCTATGGGTATGGGTGGGGGTTGTTGGACCCTGGGGAACGGTCCCGTTCGAGCGGGGACCCCCATCTGGCAACACGCACCCATAGCCCTCTCCGACCCCCCTATGGGTATGTGTGTTGCTGGTTCGTCACACTCCCTGTTCCCCTACACAAGGAGTCCCGAATCCCCTCAGAACGGAAGGGGGGGGAGGAAGCGGAGGGGGTAGGCCCAGGAACTTCCCACCGCGCCTCTGGGGCCCTTGGAGTCTCAGAATCGAGCCTCTCTGTCCTGCCAAGATGTCCACCATGCAAGTAAGACAGCCCCGAAGGGCCCCAACGCGCCGAAGAGGCCCGAAGAACACTCTCGATAGCATCCAGGCGGTCCAAGATGCCGAAAAAGAGCCTCGAGAGGACTCCAAAGAGGGCCTCGGTATGAGCTTAAGTCGGACCTGTCCCCCTACAGACGCGTTCGGGGTGAAAAACAAAAAATACCTGAAAACTACTCCAACCATGCCCAAAATAGTCAAAAAGTCGTCCCCATACTATTGTTTACTATTTTCGACAATTCCTCCTGTAAAGGGGCAGGCCCGACTTAAGCATGGCCCAAGAAGGCTCCAAGACAGCCGAAAAACCCGCAAGATGCCCCAAAAGGGAACCAAGAGAGGCCCAAGAGAGGAAACCCGCAGGGAACACAGGAGCCCTCCCTCACACGATGGCACCCTCGATCCCCAACGTGACCCCAAGAGGCTCCCAAGAAGCCTGCGGGAGCTTCGAAACACTGCCGAGGGGTTCCCTGGGCCTCCAAGAGGCCTCCAAGAGGCCCCCGCACAGGACGCGGGGTAGGGGGGGAGGAATCGGCAACAGGTGCACGCGGGCGGCACGACGGGAAGTGGTCCACGACATACACGAAATCGGAAACCGCACACGACCTCTTCTGATGGTCGGCAGAGTGGCGCAAGCCTCCTGAATATGAAGAAGTAGACGAAAGCAATGTAAAGAAGGAGCAGACTTATCCACGTGATGTTTCCTATTCTCTCCAGTGGTCTGGTGAGCTCAATCCAGCTAATACCCCCAGACACAGCCATCCAAAGACTGAGCATCGAACGATAGAGGTCCCCGAAGTACGACACCAGATCCTCATCCTCGAGTCGCGTGTCATCCTTAGTATGTTCCATGACCGCCTGCGTCAGAACAACCCCAAAAGCATAGATGATCATCACGAGCAACATAATTGCCCAGAAAACCGACTTCGCGGCGAAGGTGATGGAATGCACCAGCATCCGTAGGGGCCTCAGGTGGCGAAACGTGCGGACGAGGCGAAGGAGCCGCGAGAGTCGCAAGATGCGGAGGATCTTCGCCGTTCCACTGCCGTCGAACAGGTTGCGGTTCTTGCTTACAACGATGAGCTCCATGGCGGCCTCAGCGAGCGCCAGGAGCAAGATGGCGAGGTCACACAGGTTCCATACTCGCTCGTAGACGAAGAAATCGGATCTGAAAACATACAACCGCGCCACAAATTCCACCGTGAACAAGAAAGTGCATACGTAATTAGTTGCCGACAAGATTCGCCAGCCCAACAGGCCAACGGCGTGACAGATCTTCCAGGCAGGTGGCTCAGGTAATGATGATGACGTTGGCTTTATATCAGAGCGAGGGGGCCGAACGGTCTCACACCGTCCTTGGCTGCGTGGCTGAAGTGAGACTCCGCGGCGCGGATTCTGCCGTCCTCGCCCGCGACCTGCCCGCGACCCAGCCACGACCCACCCCGCGACCCACCCACGACCGGTTCGGCGAAAACTGCGCGCCTGCGCTGGGCTCCCTCACAGCCGCGCAGACTGCCCACGACCCCGCCGCCCTCCCCGCTCTCGTCCGCGGCTTCGGGGCTGTGGTTCACCAGCCTCGGACTTATCCCTGTCCCTAGACTGACAAGCCAAAAGGCGATGACTGTCTTGGGGATGCACCATGGAAAACGGGGAAATCCCTAAGAGCGGCATCCAGATGAGACGATGCCAGTCACAGGGATATCGGATACGACAGGTTCGTGCAGCGTCGGCACGCGCTGAGGTTTTTGACACCGAGTCGATCGTCCAACCTTGAATCGATCGCGACTCCGATCGTTCAAGGGTGACTCCCGTCGGGTCTCGAGGCGTTGCCGTGTCCATCGGGGCTGCCGCGTCGTGGAATTCAACCTTGAACGCATTCGTCGGCGTCGCCGGCGCGCCAACGCCGCACGAACCTACCGTACGTTCCAGGGAGGTGAGTGGTGTCTGGGCCGCGCGCGCTGGAGACCTCGCCGGCCCCGGAGAGCGGGCGACGAGCGGGCATGCGAGCGGGGGCGCGCCTCCCGAGAGCGAGAGCCGGGAGCGGAGGCCGCTGCGCGGCAGGCCTCCCGATGGGCCCAAGATGTTCTCGGCGTGGCCCCGGCCTCCACCAGCCCCGAGATGGCACGGCCTGCCCCCGACGAGCCTGACAGAGCTCAACGACGGCCCGAGAGGACAGAAGGACACCTCCCCCTCTAGGCACCCACCGGGCAGAACTGTTCCAACGCTCGCGTGCCGTCGATTGTGCTGGGCTGCCGCACCTGCAGGGATGGGCTGCTTCCAAGACCGCCGAGCACAGCCTCGAGTCCCAATCGCGTACCAGGACCGCCCCAAGAGGGCGCGCCTGGAGAGCCCAAGAGCGGGGATCCACCAATCGGGCAGGCCCCCAGACTAACCAAACACGGGGCCCGAGCCCCACGCTGGCCCACGATGGTCCAGAGCGGCCCCGCAGAGCCCCCGGGATGCCCAACTCCTTCAGAGATGCAGTTATTCTAGAAGAGAGGAACAAAAACAGCATAAACAGAAACTTTTGGCGCTCCGCGCAGATTTCTTGGATCTGCGTCGGGCCCCCCTCCCTGGCGCGCGGGGCGCGCCAGGGGCGGCGCCGGAGGCGCCGCCGAGGGGACCTCAGCGCGGATCCGAGAAACCCGCGCGGAGCGCCAGAAGCTTATGTTTATGGCGTTGTTCTTCTTCGGCATGGCGGGGACTGGTGCGAGGCGGGGCGGCTCTCTGCTAAGGTTAGGTCGGGCCTGTCCCCCAGGCGGATTTTTGACGAAAAACAATTCAGGGAAAAAATGCTCGAACATGTGCAAAAATAATCTAGACATCGCACTGACCCGCGGCGGTGAAGGGAAACTGGGACACACAAATAAATACACACAAATAAAAAGATTCCCCATATTTTCCCATATTTTCTGGGTTTTTGTCTTCCCGCCCAATTCCCACATTTTCCTATATTTTCTTGGGAAACGACGATTAATTGTGTCTGTGTGTTTTTGCCCTTCCTGAGGGACGGCAGGCCCACGGTCGCCGAAGCAGACCTCTGCGTGCCGCGGGGGGCAGCGCCGCCGGGCTGCGGCGCTCGTAGAAGATTAGGAGAACTCCAGACAATACACCACCACCAGCCCTGGCCAGGCCCGTCCTGGGCCCTGGACTGCTGTACAGCCCCCCCCCCCGGCCTAGGCCTGGAGGGCTATGCACCAGTCCAGGGCCCAGGATGGACCTGGCCAGGGGTGGTGGTGGTGTATTGTTGGCGTCCGTCCCTCCGAAAGAAGAAAAAACGCCGTCAACATAAACTGTCGGCGCTCCGCGCGGACTTCTTGCAGCTGCGCTGGGGCCCCCTGGCGGGCGCGCGGAGCGCGCCAGGGGCGGCGCCGGAGGCGCCGCCAGGGGGCCCAGCGCAGATGCAAGAAATCCACGCGCAGTGCCAAGAGCTTATGTTTATGGCGTGTTTTCTTCTTCGAGCTCGGGCAGGTGGCGCAGGCTGGCGCGCAAGCGAGTCACACCGGCCGAGGCCTCAAGAGGGCTCCGGGATCGCCCGTGCAGCTCTGGCCCAGACGAGTCCCGAGAGCGCCCCAGGAGCACCCGGAAGAGGCTCCGAGAGGGACCAGGACCCGAAATCGATGCATGGTGGGCCCCGAAAGCAATGGATGGTAAGCCCCAGGGTGGCCCCCAAACAGCCCCGAGACGCCGCAAGATAGTCTCAGAACGGCCCAAGATGGTCCAAGGCTTCCACCAAGAAGCCCCAAACTGCGTTGACTGGCCTGGCGGAGTCCCCAGCTCTGCGCAGTTGCGTGTAGCACAGCGCATGCCCCCTCATGTACTGCGCGCCACGGGAGGGCTGGCTGATGAAAATCACGAGCAGGATAGGCCAGAGGGGGCTAGGGCAGATGAGGTCTCGAGGAGGATTCGAAGGGTTGGGAGCGTTGGGAGGGCTAGGAGGGTGAGGTGAGTCAAGAAGGTC